ATGACCTCAGTCTCAGGGAAGCCTGAGCCAGAGAATCCACTATGGCCCTCGGGTCTTGGAAATTGTGTGAAGATCTTTGTTGCCTGATGTCGTTAAACACTAGGGCTCATCTGCTCCATCAATTGATCACTAATACAGAGGGGGTGAGCAATGCTCTGAGTGCAGCCTCATGTGGCAGAAAAGGTATGGGCTTTAGGACAGAGCCATTCTTGTCCTGTTATCAATGATGGAACCCTCGACTGATTCTTCTCCCTGTTACACGGAGATGCTGATTCCCACCGTGGATAGGAACTGTAATTCCATGAGATAAATTCTCAGCATGTGTCTGACATCCACTGAGTACTTACAGTAGTTTCTTTTTCCTTCTTTTCAAAAGCCATCTTGTCCACCAACCGCTCCACATACAATTATACTTCCAAGGCAATGGCAGGACATCTTGTGTAGCAATGGGATTGAATTTCTGACATGGAAAGTCTCAGCAGTTCAGGACATTTATTTTGTTGTCAAGTCATGGTCTCACCTCCCCTTAGCCTGGGGTGGGGCTGGCATGAAGAGCTGCCTGTCCAGGCAACTGAGGTCAGAATCTCCACCTCGTGGGGCCACTCTTGTGCATGACACCTTACATCCTTGGAAGTTGAGGCAAACATGCTGGGCTAATTATTCACAGTTGAACCTGCACAACCTCACTTCCTACCAAGACTTTGAAACATTTTGTGAATATTGAATACTGCTGCCCTGCGTGTGCTCTACAATAGATGTCAGTTGTCATGGGGAAAAACACGGAGCCCTGACTGTTAGGTACAGCCAGCCCAGGATCGGTGTTGGATAACAGGGGCTGAAACTCCTTCAACCTCTTAGCATATAGGATCCTTGGCAAGTTTTCTCTGAGACTATGCCCTCCCTCCCCTCCCCCCCACTGGGTAAAATGGGAGCAAGGATGCTTACCTTCCCAAGGTCATATTATTTTAGATTATACTGGAGCATTTGACTACTAGTAGATATTCATATTAAAAAAAAATTTCTCTGATGCTGAAATGTCCTTCAAGTAGGATTTATTTAGGACCTCAAGAATTGGCCTCATCTAGGAGCTTGCTGGAAAATGTCAGACTCCACCCAGGCTGATTAGGTCAGATGCTTATTTCCATGAGACTCCTAAGGCTTCTTAAGGTCCGAGTGGGGGCCGAGTCCTGCCTGTGTAACATGTTCCACATAAGTTTGTGTGAGAAACCACGATAGGAGGAGGATGACGGGGTGGTAAGACATTTTGTGTTTTTGCTCTGTAGACAGGCTGCCAAGAAGAACAACTTTCTCCCAGCTGAATTTAGCACAGAGGGAACTTGCTCCAGGAACAGAAAAGCCAAACCACAAATCTGAATAAATAAGCATCAATTTTATTGAGTCATGAATAATTTAAGACTTGGTACAATCATCAGCTTTATTCTCTATGACGTGGTGGGGAGGGGGAGGGCATGATCTCCAGCAGATCATCGGCAAATCCAAAAACCTCATGACAAATGAAAATTAAATAGGGAGGGGGCGGGGCTGGAAGAAGGAAACATACCGTACACAAAATACCCAATTCCTAGTTTTCTTTTTAAAAATGGCTAGAAAAGATTCATCAAAATGCAGCACTTTAATCAATTATTTACAATTTCTATGTTACAATGAAAAAATGTACATCTTATAGAACATATTTCATAAACTGCTCCACTGGAAACGAGATCGAAACAGCACAACTTCCGTTTGATATTTGCAAAGTCGAATGGGTTTTTCTTTTTGAAGTAGATTCGCCAGGACCAGATTGGAACACAAGGAATTTTGACAGTTAAGCTAATCAACAGTAAAGTGAAACGGAACAAATATTCCCAAGATCCCACAAAAGGTTCTAGTCAAGTCTAGCTCCTTGTCCCACCCCGACCCCCACCCATCACCTTAAATGCAAAGGTATTCCCAGCTCACTTATGGCCTCTAGGGTTCTTGGCAGTTAGGGAAGGAAAATTTTGGCTTCCATTGGTTAAGTCCACCTAAATGTTGCATAGAATTCCATACGTTTCAAAATCAGCCCAAGTATAGAAAAAGGCAGAAAAGTGGAAGCGTTATTGGACCGAACCTTACATGAGTACAAAGTCACTCTGTCAAAGGTGAGTGCAATGAAAGTCAACTATGACCCGAAATAAGAGAGGAGCATCTCAGCAAGACAACCCTGCTTCCCGAAATGAGAGGGACACAGCTGTCCCACACGAGGGCTCACTCCCTGCAGCCACACTCACCAGTCAGGCAGCAATGGGGCACAGGTCTTGGCTCTGAGCCTGGACCCAGTGGGAAGGAAGACTGTGGGGGAGAGAGGCAGAAAGAGAAAAGCGGGTATGAAGGAGTAAATGGAGGAAGAGGAGGTAGAGGAGGAAGATCAAGGGGATGAGGAGAAAAAGAAAAGGTGGAGAAAGAGAAGGGAGAGGAGAAGAATTAAGAGGAGGAGGGGGGAGGAAGAGACAGAGGAAGAAGATGAAGAAAAGGAAAAGGGGGGGGCTGGAGTGATAGCACAGAGGGTAGGGCATTTGCTTTGCACGTGATCAACCCGAGTTCAAGTCCCAGCATCCCATATGGTCCCCCGAGCACGCCAGGAGTAATTCTTGAGTGCATGAGCCAGGAATAACCCCTGTGCATTGCCAGGTGTGACCCAAAAAGGAAGAAAAAAAAAGAAAGAAAGGATGAGAGGAAGAGGGGGAGGAGCAAGAGAAGAAAAAAGAGGAGGAAGAGGAAGAGGAGGAAGAGGAGGAGGTTCCAAACATCAGCAGGTGCTTACTCAAGGTGCCCGGGAACACTTCCAAATTCACAGTATGAGGGTATAAGGATATGGCTGGGACGCACGGAGAAAACTCCCCTTGGGGTTTACCAGCAGGCTCAGGAGTTTGGCCCATGGTCACCGGCTTAAGATACGGTTCAAAGACTTTATGAGAAATGAACTAGAACAAGTCACACATCGCAGTCAGATGGCTGAGCATGGGGTGGCGGAGAGGGTCTGGGTTTACTGAGACTGAGTGCAGGGATAGTACTGAGAGCGGGCCCAATGGACCCATCCTGGGGACCTGGGCCCCCTTTTCCTTTCAAGGGTGGGGAGTAGCGGCATCATCCAGTGTTAAGAGGAGCAGTTTTAGAAAATGGAACAACAAAATAAAAAATGAAGAGAGACGGACCTTCGGAAACAGAAGTGTTCAAGGTGGAGTAAGAATCCCAATGGTGAACAGAGAGCCTGGCTCCAGGGAAAGGCTCTTTCCGGTACGGAAACTGGTGACAGAGAAGGTGTCCCCCTCTGCAAGGAGAACACTAACTAGGAAGAGGAGGACACCTACTGGCTTGTCAAACATCAGGGAGACTTGGAAGAACTTTTGCCTTTTCCTGCACAAGACGGATCCTTGTCCAGTCGGGGGAATTAGCTGGAGACCGATAAGAACCGAAGAAACTGAATGCCCACCCCCACCCCAGGGTCACGCAATCGCACGGATGAGTCTTTTTGGATGAGAAAAGTCACAGCGACTCGACTTCTCCTAGTGAGTGGATGACTTCTATTTTTTTGTGTTTTTTCTTTCTTTTTTTAGCCCTGTTTGCTCTGATGGGATAAACAGAAATGAAAGAAAATGACGGATCCCAGGCAGGCACGACACGCATCCATGAACACGGTTAGTACAAAACCAGTAAGGCATCACTTGGGGAAGGTCAGCACCGTAGAACACAGCCAGGCCTGTGGGGACGAAGGCAGGCGTGGGGCCCCCCGTGAGTTTGCATTGCGATGGTTGGCTCTGAGGAAAGTGCAGGGTTTCGCCGGGGTGACCTCCCCACCTCACCTGAGGTCAGGAGCTGGCACGCCTGAGGTGCTGCTGAGGGCTGGGCTGTGCGGCCTAGAGGACGAGAGGGGAAGGCGAGGGCCCACGAGGTCCCAGTCCACCCCAGGTCCACGTGGTTCCCGGTGATGTAGGAGGTGACTGTGTCCGAAGTGAGGATGGGCAGACAAGCCGAAAACCAAAACTCAGCCGGACCCAACCCAAACAGCTCCTGCGGTCCTTCCTTCCACCCAAGGATGGAGTCTCACCCAGCGGGGCCAGAGAGACATCTTTCAAAGTCGAGAGTCAGGGCGGGAGAGTCTCCTTGTTGTTCCAGGATTGGGATGGGCAACCGGGGAGGAGGGAAATCAGTTCTCCAAGGTAGAACTGTTCTCGTCCCCGCACCATGCTCGCAGAAAAAAGAAAACCTAATTCATCTCGGGTTTGGGGTGGAATCAGATGTGTGTAATCTGCGTTGCCCTGCTGGCCGCCGTGTGGACAGGCAAGGACAATCTTCTCGTTCCTTCTCTCGCGCTCCCGTGGGTTATGTCTGGGAGTTGTGTCCCAAAAGGGTGGGTGGAAAGGAAGAATGGGCGGACGGCCTCTGGGGCGGGGCAGCACCATTAGAAAAATGAAACAGAAAAGTAGGCTTGGTTTCCGGAGCTCTGGGGCATGTCCCGGGCAGTCTGTGGCTCAAGCCCTGGCTGGCACCTGTTCTTCTGGGCCGGCAGGGCCTCAGGGTGCTGGCAGCAGACCCAGTGATTCCAGAGGCTGCGGGTGGACTCAGGCGAAGCCACGTCCTGCCTCTCTCCAGCTCAGCTCCAGTCTTGTATGTCTTTGAGCAGCTGCTGGTGGGATGCTGTTTGGTTTCAGAGCTTCAAGTGAGTCCTTTTTATTGTTTGCTGGAAAAAAAAAAAAAGATCCTTTCCGCATCAGAGGTGAACATCATTTCCCGAGGAGCATCTTCAGCGTCTTAGGGGAGGTCACAGCCATGAGGCAAAAAAAACAAAAACAAAAACAAAAAACCCCAACAAAACACATGAGAAAGAAAAAGGATGACCAGAACAGAACAGGAAATAGTGCAGTGCTCAGGTGGGAGGGAGCCGTGGTGCCAAGGCAGCTGGCCTGGGACCCCTGCAGCCGGGCCAGGCTGGAGGGCGAGGGGGGAAGTGGGGCTGGGGTCCCTGCAGCTGTCACGCTGCGGCCGGAGGGGTGGCTCAGGAGGTCATCTTCGGGAGGGCGCGGAGGATGGAAGGGGATGAGGCGGAGAGAGGCGGCTGGGCCCGCTCACAGGGTCGACTCCAGGGACGAGTCCAGGATGTCGTCGTGGTGGCTGTTGCTGTTGGAGTCGCTGTCGTAGCTCTGGGGGCTGGAGTAGTTGGCCGCCTCTTGCAGCCGCATCAGCATGTTCATCTGGGGGGGACGAGCGAGAGCATGAGGGGTGGGTTGACAGGCGCCTGCCACCCACCGTGCCAGAAGCATCCTGGGACTGCTGTGTTATCTCCTGGCCTTGCCTGATTCTTTTCTAGGACCGCGGATATCGCAGTAGCAGTGGGACTCTGGATGGGCCTGCTGTGAACAGAGGGGACCATGGCCACCTTGTCCCCCCCGCCCCCCCACACTTCCTGGCTCTTTCTACAGGGACTGGCTGGCTTTGGCAAGGGCGGAGACAGTAAAAAGTGCAGACAGAGTTCAAAGGTTTAGCTCCACCCACTGGTCCAGAATCCGGATTCAGTGGATTCTTTCGCCTGCGGATTCCTCCTACCCGCCTACCTCTCCTCACAGGTGCTCTTGGTTCTTCTGGGACTCGGGAATGCTGCCTCTGCTCCGTTCCTCAGGAGAGAGGAGATGCCCAAATGGATGGCATGTGACAAGGGTGATGCTCAAATCAGAGAGCCGGACTTGGGGTAATTATTGGGGGGAAAGGGGAGAATAACTTTTTTTGGTTTTTTGGAGGGCCACACCTGGTGGTGCTCAGAGCTTACTCCTGGCTTGGCACTCACGGATCATCCTGACGATGCTCTAAGGGAACCACAGGGGGATGGTGGGGGGGGGGTGCGCAGTGCTGGGATGAACCCAGGCCAGCTGCGTGCAAGGGCGAGCCAGCGTCTTAATCCCTGTACTGTCTGGCGTGTGTGCGTGCATGAGTGTGTCGTGTATGTGTGCATGTGTGTGTGTGTGTGTGTGTGTGTGTGCTGGTCGCATCCAACAGTGCTCAAAACCTACTCCAGGCAATTCTTGGGGTGGGTACCATTCATGGCACCAGGAGAACTCAGATCTCCTGCAGGCAAAGCATGCTACTCCAACCCACTACGCTATCTCTCCAGCCTCGGAAAAAAATCACATTCTTTTATTTATTTATTTATTTATTTTGGCTTTTTTGGGTCACACCCGGAGATACTCAGAGTTTATTCCTGACTCTGCACTCAAAAACTTTTCCTGGTGGTACTCAGGGGACCAGAGGGGATGCTGGGAATCGAACCTGGGTCAACTGCATGCACGGTAAATGCCCCCTCTACTATTGCTCTGGCCCCCAGGTAAATTGCATTTTTAATTTTTGACATGATACCAGAAAAAAAAAAATAAAAACCTCAGAGGGACTAAATGGTTTTAGCCAAAAGCTGAACCCAAGGCAGAAAATGCAGGTGATGTCTCAGGAAGGCCCAGATGGCCAAAGGCTGGGGGCTTGCTCCATCCCCTTTGTGGCTGCACGTTCCCTACATGCTGGGCACCATGGTGAGAGCTGGGCCATGGGACACTCACCAGTGGGTCTCCTTCGGCATCACTGGGGGGCATCTGCTTGCTCGCCGACCCCTCCCGGGGCACAGAGTAGCCGTCGAAACCCACATCCTCCGGCCGGAGCTGCAGAAGGGGCGGCCACTCGTGCTGCTGGGGACTGGCAGCCCACGGGTAGGTGTCCATCACCCACTTGGCAGGGTCCTCCCAGGGGGCACGTCTCCCATAGAGCTGCAGGGAAGGAAGAAGAGCATGAGGTGGACTCCGGCCTCTGGAGACCTTCCGAAAGTCTCCCCGAGCCCAGCCTTAGGCCTTGCCCTAGGTGGAGAGATTCTAAGGGCAGGACTGGACCCTAGGGAGGTCACCCCAAGCAAGGTCCAGCAGCTTGAGATGCAAGGAGGGAAGTCAAGCGGGGTCTGAGGGGTGGACGGCACTGGCTCTGAAGTCAGGCTGAGTGGGGAGCACGTCCCAGCTGTGCTGTGGTGACCCCTGGTCTCTGGGAGGAAAACCTAGTCTAATGGGGGCACCTTCCACCTCCTGTGTGTGAATCCTCCCATTGCAGTCACTTTTAAGTGACTGTCACCAAGGCACAGGTGCAGAGATGGGAGAGGTGTTGACTAGCACAGCCGGCATGGCATCCTAGAAAGAGCATCTCTGTTAGGGCCTGGCAGACAGAGGTGCCTGGCGACGCTAATTAAGTGAACCCCGCTTCTCTGGCAGTGGGCCTCTGGGAGCCCCTTCTCCAGAAGCATGGATCACTTTCAAAACAGCAAGTTGTGATGGAGGTCACCGACGGGGTGAACGGGACCTTCAGGCCTCTGAGTACGATTGAGCAGGGTGACGGATTTGCTCTTAAAACAGAAAACCACTATTGCCAGTGTCATCACCAGAAACATGTTGCCAAGTATCTTTCCCAAAACCATGAATAACTCCTGACAAATGATGTTAGTGGTTCTTCCTCGCCATTTCGAGAAACAGACATGCATTCTCTAAAGAACTTGGGTGGAGGGATGGGGTGTTGGAATGCTGTGTGACTGAAATCTAATCATGAACAGCTTTGGAAAGGTCTATCTCACAGTGATTCAGTTAAAACATTTAAATATATATATACATATATATATATATATACTTGCATAACATTTAACAGGAATAAAAATATGTCCATTCAGGTATTAACTCTGCTATACGTAGATCATATTTTGTTAACCCAATATGATACCACAGGTCTTTATGAAAGACTAAAAATGCGGACACTTCAAGTTCTGAGGTCCTATAGCGTGAAACCCACATAGCTTAATGGTGTTATTTTTCACCATAAAATTTATTTTTCCTACCATAACCAGTAAGAAAAAATTTCTTTATTTCTGCAAGAATAAATGACATTGGCTTTTAGGAAAATAAAGGGAATTTTTGTCTCAAAAAAAAAAAAGAGGGGGCTGGAGTGATAGCATAGCGAGTAGGGCATTTGCCTTGCACGCAGCCGACCCAGGTTCAATTCCCAGCATCCCATATGGTTCCCGGAGCACCTCCAGGAGTAATTCCTGAGTGCAGAACCAGAAGTAACCCCATGCATCACCAGGTGTGACCCCACCCGAAAAAAAAGAAGTCTGCTGCAGGGCCCACAGTGGGCTATGTCACATGGCTGGGCATAGCCCGTCTGTTAAGCAGCACTTGACCCCTGAGGTAGCACCCTTGGGGGCGGCATAAGAGGTCAGGAAGGACAGGGGCCAGAACTGGAGCCCAAGTCTTTGCGGGTCCAGGTCACTGACCTGTAGTCTGAGCAGATGAGACAGGGCTCACTCCTTGCCAGAACGGCACATGCCCACCCAGGGCCATGTCTGTCTGATTCTAGAAGGTGCCTCCTCCACACAGCACCATAGAGACGGAGCCCAGAGACTACTGACCCTGAGCAGTGGTAATGGGGCTCTGACACGGAAAGACATTTAGACCACACCTGCCTGTCTGCCTGTCTGTCTGCTCCTACTATCCCATGCCCAACATTGGCCACCTGACCGTTCCATGTGATTTACCAGGAAGGCCCCAGCCCCTCACCAGAGACTGCCCCCCTCAGACCCAGTGTCTGATGACCTCATGGCTGTGGCAGACACTGACACCCTTCCTGTCTGTGCTTGGGCCCTGCGTGTGGCTCATGCTTCCTTCACCTGGGGCAGCGTCGCAGGCTTGGGAGCTGAGAGCTGGCATTTCACAGCTCAGTGTCAGCGGGAAGGGGCTGCTTGAATCAGGTGCCTGCGCGTGGGGGCACGTCTGGACAAGTCAGGGGTGTGGGGAATGCAGACGCGTTCAGGGACGTTGAGAAGGCACGGCGTCTGCTCCAGATTAGAGAGAGCCCTGCAATTTTCAGAAGTCTCTTTGGCCCAGGGCTTCCTTATGGAATGGGGCCACTTTTCCTACGCGAGACTTCAATCTGGGAGACGGAACCAAAGCCTCTTTGTGGAAAGCCGTGGCTTCGTTTCTGCCCTCCAACCCAGGGGTGGAGATGTGCAGGGCAGAGCAGAGGCTGGAATACAGAGCTTATGTCTATGGTAGTTGCCAAATGCTCTCTTTTCTCCCCTGCCCCCGCCCTACCACAAAAGCCAGCTTGAACAAAACAAAAACAAAAAAAACAAAAAACCTCATGGGGCCGGAAAATAAGCCGAATGGGCTCAGCGAATGCTTTGCAGAGTGGAGGCTTTGGATTGACCCCAGCACTGCATGGGCCCTGAGTATTGTAAGAAGCAAGCCCTAAGCAGGATGCATAAGTAGTCCCAAGGCAGGGCCAGATGTGTGCCCCCACCCCCACCCCATCCCAACCCCAACCCAAACCAGACAGACAAATTCAGTCTTGTAACCCAAACTTTTCAAAGTGACAGTAGGAAAAGCCGAGACTTGTCCTGGTCTCCAAGCAGGTAAATGCCTCCCCAAACTCCCTCTCCCCCTCCCTGCTCCCCCCCCCCCCCCCGTTTCTGTCAAGGGCATTTTCAAGTTGCTCCACAGATCTGAGCCACTCTGGCAAGTGTTTACCACGGCATCTCCGAAGGGGAAGAGGACCAGGCTGAGTCATAAGGGAAATGTGCATCGGGCGAGAACAGAAAATATTTTTACAAGTCTCTCCACTTGCCTGCTGGGCTTGTTCAAATCGAGGCAATGAATGGCCAGGTCAGTGCTGTAGCCAGCTAAGAAAATGCCAGAAAATACTTTATTCCTTTATTCCCCTGCCGAGCCCCGAGGCAGCTCTGGGGAGCTGCAGACAGACAGATGGGTGGATGGACAGACAAGACCTTTAGTTTTCTCCATGTCAGGGAGGAGTCTGACATCCCCAGTGGGTCAGGAGCAGGAAACCAAGACACTGGGAAGGAAAACTAGGGCCACAATGAACCCCTCTGACTCTGAGTGTGTCCGTGTGTATACACACGTACACACAGACACACAGACACATAGACACACATAGACCCACAGACACAGACACACACAGACACATATAGACACACACAGACACATATAGACACACACAGACCCACAGGCAGACACACACAGACACACATAGACAGACAGACAGACAGACAGCCACACACACACACACACACACACACACACACACACACACACACACACAGAGCCAAGAAGAAAAATGCAGGAACCTGCAGAAACATGTGGCAACCATCAGGGGCAATGCCACCCTTCCTTCCTCCAGGTTAGGAAGGACCGTCGGGGCTGTTTGGAAGCTGAGGGGCACCTGACAGAGCAGAGTCTCTGGGTGACCTCGCCCACAGACAGTCCTGGGAGGCTCTGGGATGCAGCTTTTTAGCTTATGACCGTGGCTAAGGGCTCCCATGCTCCAAAGCACGGCATGCTCCCTCACCACCCCCCCAGACCACTGCTTTCACTTCTCAGAGGGTTGTGGCAGCGTGTGGGGGGGGGGGGTTAGGGAGGAGAGTGTCATTTACTGCCCCCCCCAGCCTCCACCCACCCACACATCACAGTAAATAGGAGTCAAGGTGGTGTGAAGTGCAGCAGGGGGTTCTAAGCTTTTTTTTTTTTTTAAGTAAAAGAATTTCTTTGTCAGGGCTGGAAAGACAGCACAGAGTGCAGGAGAGTTGCCTTGCACAGAGCCAATCTAAATTCAATCCCAGGATTCCCTATGGATTCAGGTTCAATCCCCTGGATTCCCCCAAGCAATGCCAAAAGTAATTCCTGAGTGCAGAACCCGGATGGATAACCCCTAAGCATCATTTTGTGGCATCACAAACAAAAATAAGCAAACAGAAAAATAATTCCCTTGTCAAATGAAACCTTTTTTTTTTTTTGGCGGGGGGGGGCATGGAGTGAAGAACCACAACCAACGGTGCTCATGAGTCATGCCTGGACCATGAGCACGGCCAAGTACTGGCCCAGGAGTGGGCCCTATAATAAAACAACTGCAAAACAACTTCAAAATCATGCAATTAGCCAGGACATGGATGGAACTAGAGGATAGCAAGCTGAGTGAAGTCAGGCAGAAGGAAAAGAACAGATGCAGAACGATCTCTCTCATATGTTGAGTGAGAGAGGGAGCGACGGAGAGGAAGTGGGAGAGGTGGGAGAGGGAGAGGAGGAGGGGGAGAAGGGGTGATAGAGAGGGAGAAGGAGGGAAGGAGGGAGGGAGAGAGAGAGGGAGAGAGGAAGAGGAAGTGGGAGAAGAAGAGGGGGCTGGGGAGAAGGGGGAGAGAGGGGGGGAAGGAGGGAGAGAGAGGGAGGGAGGGACAGAGACAGAGAGAGACCAAGGGAGAGAGGGAGGAAGAGACACAGAGAAGGAGAGAGGAGAGAAAGGGGGGAGAGAGAGGGAGAGAGGAGGAGAGAAAGGGGGAGAGAGAGAAGATAAGTGCTTGCCATAGAGGCAGGCCTGGAGGAGGCGGGCAGGAGGGAAACTGGGGACATTGGTGGTGGGAAAAGTCACCGGTGAAGGAAAGGGACAGGTGATGGAACATCGTTTAACTGAAACCTAATCAAGAACGTCATAATCGTGAATCTCATGGTGATCCAATTTAAAAAAAAATACACATCAAGGCAGTAACAAAGGGCCACAGAAGTAACAAAAGGTATCAGAAGAAGGGAGCTGAGCTCAGGAAGTGAGCTTGGGGGCTGGGGACGGTGTTTGAAAGGGCGGTGACCAGAGAAGCACCCCCCCCGCCCCCCCGTCCCCCTCTGCCCAGGCCTATCCACCTCTGCCACCTCCCCCTCCTGCCTTTGTGGCCTAGAGACAGATGCTCCTAAGGATAAATCCCCTCAGAGCCTGTCCGGGATGAGAAGGGGATGAGAAGCTGGATATTGTCAGGTGGAGCCACCACATCACGGTCACAAATGTGGATGCCCCAAAGGCCCCCACATGCCCTCCATGGGTCTCTCAGAGCATCTGTCTCCCATTGGCCAGCACCCAGGAAACAAAAACTCTTGAACAGGCTGAGAAGCGGATTCCTGGATTGGTCGGCAAGCCTGGTGCTTGTGGATGATGCAGAGTGGGTGCTGGGCTGGCAGTCTGCACACAGCTTGGCTGCCTTCGTGCTCCCGTGTCTGAGATCCTGGCATCAGAGAGCCGAGCTGAGTATGGTGGGGGGGAAGGGTTCCTGCTTTCCGGGGACCTGCAGCCTCATGGGCCCCAGGGTCTCCATGGAAAAGCCCTGGTAGCCACCTCTGACTCGGAGTCTGAGACCTATACTCTGGGCCAGAGACCGGGATGCAAATCCCTGACTTGTCAACTTCCTCCAGGAGAAAAATCCCCAAGACAAACTCATGCAAAGCTTGAACCGAACAGACCAATCTGAGGGCCGGAGCAACACAATAGCTCGTAGGGCAATTGTAGTATTGCTCTACGATACTTGGATAGGGTGTAGGGCGTTTGCTTTGCACATGGTCGACCCGGGTTCGATTCCCGGCATCCCATATGATCTTCTGAGCACCACTAGGGGTAATTCCTGAGTGCAGAGCCATGAGTAACTCCTGAGCATTGCTGGGCATGGCCCCCAGACAAAATAAAACAAAAAGAACAATTTGCTACACACATCTAACTTCCCATTTCCTGGGCTTTCCAGATTTCACTTACTTTATATTCCTTAGGAACAATGGGCCTTTCCAGGGGTGCCTGGGAGCCTGGGGCCCACGCCCGGTGATATTCGGCCCACAGTGTGTGTTTCATGAACTCTTGCAGGCCACGTGCCATTATAATCTCTGCCCAGTAAGGCCCAGAGGAGTCAAACGCTTGTCTGCACTCACACAGGGTACCAGGATCTGCAGCTCAGTGAGCCTGACACTAGACTGCCGGGCAAACACACAGGTGTGGTCACTGTGTCACTGTGTGTTGCTCAGCTTCCTCGAAGGGAGAAATCAATGCAGCCCCCTCGAGGGCTGTTGCCCCACCATGCCCAGAGGCTGGCGGGAGGGTGGCGTCTCTCACCTGGAGTCCTTCTCTAACGGCTTCCAGGAGGTAGGGGATGATGGAGTAATTCCACAGGTCTGTGAACCATACTCTGGAGCCATCCACGTCGATGGGGCAGGACAGGAAGAGCCGGGGGCCTGGGGAGACAGCGGCAACAGAAGGAGCGGACATGAGTGATGGTTAGGAGAAGCCCCAGCCATGGGGGGGACCCTGGGTTTGTTGAGTGACAGTAGCAACCTCAGCTGCTGGGCTGGGAACACAGAGCAGCCTTAGACACCCTAACTCTGCCTGGAGACTTCTGTCCTCTAGAGATTTGAAAAAAAATGAGAAAAAGGGGCTTTCCCGAGAGGGAGTTGCTTATGATGGCACTGTGGCATCCTGACTTTGGGAAAACAAACATGCCAAACATGCTGAAGAACCATTCTGGATGGGCGGCCCTTCAAAAGAATGACAAGGACATGGAATTTGCTTGTCAATGAATGGATGGTTGGGGCTGGAGTGATAGTACAGCGGGCAGGGCATTTGCCTTGCACATGGCCAACCTGGGTTTGCGCCCCAGCATCTGGTATGGTCCCCCAAGCACCGCCAGGAGTGACTCCTGTGTGCAGAGTCAGGACAACCCCCTGAACATCGCTGGTGTGATCCAAAGAAGCCAAAATGCAAAAAAATAAAAAAATAAAAATAAAAAAGAATGGATGGTTATGGAGAGTATCATTCTGAGTGACGCGTCAGAAGGAGAGGGATAGATGTAGAATGACTGTACTTATTTGTGGGATATGAAAATAGGTAAAGGGATAGACATGATAATCTTTCAGTATCTGTATTGCAAACCACAATGCGAGAGAGAGAGAGAGAGAGAGAGAGAGAGAGAAGAGAAGGACTGCCATAGAGGCAGGCTAGGGGGGTGAGTTGGGAGGGAAATTGGGACACTGACGTTGAGTAATGTACACTGGTAAAAGAATGAGTGCTAGAACATTGAATGACTGAAACCCAATCATGAACAGCTTCGTAGTGCCACAGGTCTGTGAATTACACCTATCTCACGGTGATTCAATTAAAAAAATTTTGAAAAAAAAAAAAAGAAAAGAATGACAAGGGTCTGGAGAGCAAGGACATGGGTTAAGCTCTTGCCTTGCATGCAGAGAACCTGGGTCTGGGGCCTGAACTAGCACACAGTCACCCAAGCAATGCCAGGACTGATGTCTGAGCACAGAGCCAGGAGTAAGCCCCAAGCATAACTGGGTATGGCCTCAAACCAAAAAAGCAAAACAAAATCCCCCAAAAGGCAAAAGAACCCAAAGACCCCTGTATAATATTGAGCAGATGGGGACAGAGCAAGTCAACACAAATGAAAAGGATCCGACTTTTCTCTGGTCCACACACCCACTTTTCAAGATTTTTTGTTATTGTTGTTACTTTTGGGTCACACCTGGTGATACTCAGGACTTACTCATGACTCTGTGCTCAGGGATCATTCCTAGAAATGCTCGGGGGAACCATATGGTGGCGTCAGGGACTGAACTCAGGTCAGCTGTATACAAGGCAAAAGCCCGATCTGCTCTACTATAGTTCCGGCCCCCACACTTCATGATTACTAATGACATTTTCTCTGTGTGTGTGTGTGTGTGTGTGTGTGTAGAGTGTTTGGTCCATTTAATTTTACTGGATTCTTCAGGATATGTAGTATAAATTCTCTGAAAATAGAATTATGAAAGCTTACATTCTTCTTTTATTCCTTTGTTACATTTTAGATTTTTTGTTTGTTTTTAACATTTTTGTTTAAATAGGCATTATGGAATTTTGGGATTTTTTTTATTTTAGGGTCACATCTGGCAATTCACAGGTGTTATTTCTGGCTCTGTTCTCAGAAATTACTCCTGGCAGTGTTCAAGGAACCATATGGGATGCTGGGAATTGAACCCGGGTTGGCTGCATGCAAGGCAAATGCCCTACCTGCTGTGCTATCACTCTAGTCCCTTGGGCTTTTTTTTTTATGATGACATTTTATCTTAAAGGCAAAGCCCATCTCCAAGGGGGGATTTTGCTTGAGAGTGTATGGGGTGAGCTGTGAGGGTGCTTCCTTGAGCCAGGCTGCAGGAGTTTCTCCTGGGCTGACCAGCCCCAAGCAACTGCATGAGGCAGGGAGGGGGAGAAAGGAATGCGGGTAACTGGGCTCCTGAAGTCGACCCCCCTCTCTCTGCATGGACAGGGCCATGTCCCTCCCTGACGTGGACCTGAATGGAGCTATCCTGGTTAGGGCCCAGAGGATGCTCATTGCCTACCGATGGTGACATCCGAGGAACTGTGTGCCTCCAGGAAGCGGTTGAGGTGATGCCACACCTTGGGGACCCAGTCAATGATCTTCACCAGCTCCACATTCCGCACTCGCCCACTGATCTCCGTCTCCATGAGTTTCCGCCTCAGGAAGCGGCCTAGGAACCCCTTCACAGGTTCTGTGTGGTTGGCACAGAGCACCCACCTGTGGGGGGCGGGGCAGAGAATCAGGGACACATGTTAGCGTGACTTCCAGGCTCAGAGCACCTGGGAACTGTAAGGGGTGCAGCCGGGACTCAGCCGGTCTCATTCTGCTGCGTCTGTGACACAGGGGCTCAGCCCAGCACCGTCCTGAGTCCCTGGCATTGTGGTTCTCACCCCCCTCTGACTGACAGAGATGCTGGGGCACAGGTCGGTGGCAACAACTTCTCCAAATCCAACAGCCCATTCATAGGAGAGTCAGGAGGGGCCTGATATGCAGCTCGGTGGGGCAGGCCAGGGACAGCTCAGCCTGTAGGAAGTCTGTGGGTTTGAGCTCTGGGGCGACCAGACAAATGGGGCCACAGCCAACCCAATATAAAGCCAGATCCAAACAAGAAGCATCAGAATAAGCAACAGAACAGGCCCGCTCTCGGGCTTGAGACGCAGAGCATGAGAGCTCTTGCTGTTTGAGTTGGGCCCTGAGCTATGGAGCAAAGTGATTTGAAGACAGCCCTGCAGTCCCCAGGACATCAATCTAGGGAAGTAGGCCGAAGTGCCAATAGGAAAGAAACAGGATGAAACCCGGGGTGGGGGGTTGGGGGGAGACAGGGAGGGCTCTGCTGCCTCCATGTGCCCTGCTTTGCTGGGTTGGCTTTCAAGGGCTCCCACTCAGAGAGGCTGGTGAAGTGGACAGTCAACAGGAGCCAGAGAGAGCCCAAGGAAGACTGGGGGTGGTGGGGGCAAAGCAGGCATTTGGCACATGGCCATGCATCCCAGCCCGCCATGACAGTCCCCGAAGGAACAGGGCAGGAAGGACTTGGCAGGTGAAGGTAGAAGACGCAGACCCAGCAAAGCAGGCCACATGGAGGAGAAAGAGGGAGGTCTGGGCTGAGGCTGGGGCAAAGGGAGCAGCCACAAGAGGCGAGGCAAGGAGCGGGGCGGGAGATGGGGGTGAGGTGTCCAAGTTGCCACCCTGGCAGAAGCAAGATGTGGGCCGTTAGGGAAACTGTTCCATGGAGGCAGGACCTGCCCACCTAGGGCACCGGGATTTCACTGTGGTGGCAGCCGGGAGCCACTGAAAAACTGGAGAAGCATAAGGGAGTGAGGATCAAGTCTGAATTCTAGACTGTCCACTCTGACTGCCCTGGGTACAGAGGCCGGCATGCAGGGGGTTCCGGGGCAGGCTCCAGACTCACCCTCGGGTGAGAAAACGGGTGAAATCACGTGCCAAGAGATGGCAGACATGGGCAGGAGGAGGAGCGAAGTCCTCGAGGATATCTGGGAGAAGGCCTGGACATGAACAAGATGAGGGGCAGAGGGTGGGCCAAAACCACAGGTGTGGAGGAGCTGCTGTGGTTCAGGCTGGCTTTCTTTTTATTTATTTATTTATTGCTTTTGGGGTCACACCCAGCGATGCTTAGGGGTGATTCCTGGCTCTGCACTCAGGAAGTACTCCTGGCAGTGCTCGGGGGATCCTACGGGATGCTGGGGATTGAACCCTGGTTGACCGCGTGCAAGGCAAACTCCCTACCCGATGTGCCATCACTCCAACCCCGGGCTGGCTTTCAAGGGCTCCCACTCAGAGAGGCCGGTGAAGTGGACAGTGAACGGGAGCCAGAGAGAGCCCAAGGAAGAGTGGGGGCGGTGGGGGCAAAGCAGGCGTTTGGCACATGGCCATGCAGCCCAGCCCGCCATGACAGTCCCCGAAGGAGCAAGGCAGGAAGGACTTGGCAGGTGGAGGTAGAAGACGCAGACTCAGCAAAGCAGGGCACATGGAGGAGAAAGAGCTTGCTTGCTTTCCATAGTTTTCAGTTTCTGTCTCACTCCCAGGGGTTCTCAGAGAACCCTGCAGGGGTGTGGTCTACCTAGCCTGGGCCTCCTGCATGGAAGGCATGTGCTCCAGCCCACACGGCCACCCCAGGTGCAGACACCAGAACTTTCCCTGCTCAGATTCCCTCAGGACAAGAGAGCTGCCTCTGATGCAGTGTGAGGAAGATTAGGGCACTCCTGCCCCCTCCTGGAGCTACTCCTCAAACTAAGAGCCAGATCCCTTCCCTTGGGGGTCTCAGCACTGACACGGACCAGCTGTGGGACCTTTCCCGGAACCATGTGTTTCTCTGAGCCTCCTTCCGCCCATTCGTAACCCTAGAAAAATAACGCTAATGACCAGGAGGCTGGCGTGTAAATTCAAGGAGTGAAGCTGAGAAAGACCCACTCTCCGACCCACTCCCCCGACCCAACACCACCCCTCCCCCGCCCTCGCACCATTCAGGCCCAGCACACAGCAGACACGACACTTTTCTTTCTTTCTTTCTTTTTTTTTGGCTTTCTGGGTCACACCCGGCAATGCTCAGGGGTTCCTCCTGGCTCTGCACTCAGGAATTACTCCTGGCAGTGCTCAGGGGACCAGATAGGATGCTGGGAATCGAACCTGGGTTGACTGTGTGTCAGGCAAACGCCCTATCTGCTGTGCTACTATCCCTCCAGCCTCACTTGACACTTTTCAACGCATGCTCTCACTCCACATTCGCTCACAGAGTAGGGGCAGCAGCAGTTACCGGAAGTTGTGGTGCAGCTGGAGGTTGGGTGTGGAGGAGGTAGCCTGGTTCATGGTGCCGATGATGTACGGGCTGCAGGCGGAGAGAAGAAAAGGGCATGATGTGAGCGAGTCGGGGTCAGGCAGTAGGTGTGGGGAGGGGACTCTGGTCCTCCTCCTCCTCCCCACATGGCCCTGCATGCCCAAAACATCCCCTGGCAGCAGCTCCCGCCCACCCATCCCCCATCCCAAGGGCCTGGAGCGGGGTGCCGGACTTCACCATTTGTGGTCCTTGCAGTTGAGCAGCCCATTGAAGATCTCGCCCAGGGAGCTGACATGGTGCAGGTTGTCCAGGATAATGACGAGCGGCATGTCCCCGGCGCTGTTCTCGCTGGCGCACTGGTCAGCAAGGTTGGACAGGTACTGGCGCAGCTCCTGCGGACCCAGGGAGAACCCGAGGGTGACGGCACGGCCACCGAGAGGCTGGGCACAGAGCCTTCCTGGCTCCCGGTGGGCAGGAAGTGCGTGCTGGAGGGGGTCTGCCTGTGCTGGGGGGTGCACGGGGATGAGGAAGGCCTCAGTCGTGCCTCTGGCACTTGCCAGCAACACAGCAGCAAGAGTGCGGCTCTGCGGGGCAGTGAGTCCCCACACCCTACCCTACCCTTCCTTGAAGAGGGCCACCACATGCCCTGGAGTTTTCCGGTCTGGGCTGGAGCGATAGCACAACTGATAAGGCATTTGCCTTGCACGTGACCGACCCAAGTTCGAATCCTCCGCCCCTCTCAGAGAGCCCAGCAAGCTACCGAGAGTATATCTCGCCCACATGGCAAAGCTTGGCAAGCTCCCCGTGACGTATTAAAATATGCCAAACACAGCAACTAGTGTCACAATGGAGATGTTACTGGGCCTGCTGTTCGAACTGTGCCAGCAGCCAGGGTGGGGTTGTCCCCAGCCCTGCAGTGAACCTGTGCCCCACTCCCCACAGTGTTGCCGAGTGAGGCTGAGGTACCTGGAGCAGGGGGAGAGGAGGGCAGGCTGCAGGCAGCTGGAAGATTGGGGGCTAAAGGACCAGCTTTGAGTTTAGGCAGGAAGGATAGGTGGGCCACTGGCTAGGGCACCCCCAGCAAGCAGCCCTGTGAGGGCTGAGGACCAAGGCCAAGGTAGAGAGAAAGGGTCACGGTGAAGAGTAGCAGGGGCTGAAGCAGGGTGGGCAGGGAGGGTCCAAGAACCTAGTGATGTCATCACCTTCGTGATGGGGCCAGCTCTGCAGAGCCCCCTACACAGGCCCGCAGGGACACTGGGGTGGGAGCTAGAATGGTACTCCTCTGACAGACAGGAAAACTGAGGCACAGTAGGGTGGTGATTGGGCAGAGATAGCTGAAACAGACACACGTGCACCCACACACACACACATGCACACACGCACACACATGTACATGCACTCTCTGTCTCCGTGTCTCTCTGTGTCTCTGTCTCCCTCTGTCCCTCTCTCCCTCTCTGTCCACTGAGTCAGGGTGGCTGGTAGGCGCAACAGTCTGACCTTCCCCCTTACTAGTAATTTTTCATTTGCCACCTTGGAACCTTGGCCTCGGTCATCTGACCAGGACAGGAGCCCACTCAGACTTGCAGGATTTGGTTGGTGAGAGGACACCCTCCAAGGGGAGAACAGGGGAGTGAGGGGGGCTGACACGGAGCCCGACACCCTGACTCAAGGCTCCTGACCGCCTCTCACTTGTCCTGTCCCAACAGGACATCAAGATCACCTCAGAACAGGGCCAGAGTTATAGTACAGGGGGGAGAGCGCTTCCCTTGCACATGGACGACCTGGGTTCAATCCCTGGCATCCCATATGGTTCCCGCGAGCTCTCCAGGAGTAATTCCTGAGGCCAGAGCCAAGAGTAACCCCTGAGCACCGCCAGGGTGTGAGCCAAAAAGTCAAACAAACAAACAAAAAAACCCAAAACCAAATAAACAAAACCAAATCACAGATCATTTAAGAACTTATGTGTGGGGTCCCCCAGCTCTCTGGGACCACACGAGCAGGCCGCAGGGGAAGGAGGCCCCAGAGCACAGAGTCTGGAGTGCAGAGAGAGACCAATGCAGGTAGAGGGGACATTTCTACTCAGCACTAACTTCCCATGCACAGCGGCGGGCAGAGGGGGTCACCCACCCTCTGTCATATGAACCCAGCTTCAGAAAACACCTCCTTGGCTTCAGCTGGGACCAGGTCAGGCTCTGTTATGAGGCTCCGGTTCATCATGTGTGTGTCTTAGGCATACGGCCAGTCTACTGACGCCTAAGCAGCTTCCTTGGCACGCTGGGAGAGCAATCCTCGCCTCTCTGAGGGCACAGTGGGGAGATGACCGCCGAACCTGGGACAGGCAGTCCGGAAAAGTGGGCGGCTGTTCTTGCCGTTCCTCAGAAGGAATTTTGTCTTGGAAAAACAAGAGCACTTAGCTGCACATGATACAATGAAATGAATGTATCTGTGTGATCCTGAAGAAGCATCAGCACTAAGTATCACGCTCAGCTCATGAGCGAGGGGCAATGGATGGATGAGTAAAATGGATTTTGAGGGGCCAGAGAGTCCAGTGGGTCAGGGGCTTGCCTTGCAAGTGTCTGAGCTGCTTTGACCCCCAGCACTGTAGACAGTTCTCTGAGCTCTGGATTCCTGAGCACAGGCTCAGGAATAAGTCCTGAGCACTGCTGGGTGCGTGCCCTCCCATCGAAAAACTGACTTAGAGACGAAACTTGTTGAGGCTTGGGAGACAGAGTTGTGGTGAGGGCACAATGAAGCATGAGCCTCACAGTCACAGTCACAGCACAGTCACAGTCACAGTCACAGTCCTCCCGTTGTTCATCGATTTGCTCGAGCGGGCCCAGTAACGTCTCCATCGTGAGACTTATTGTTACTGTGTTTGGCATATTGAATACGTCACGGGGAGCTTGCCAGGCTCTGCCGTGCGGGCGAGATACTCTCGGTAGCTTGCCGGGCTCTCCGAGAGGGGTGGAGGAATCGAACTCGGGTCGGCCATGTTGGCTGTGTGCAAGGCAAACGCCCTACCGCTGTGCTATCACGAGCCTCACCTTGCTCAATCCCAAGCACCGCATGGTCTCTGTGCTTTATGGGAAACATCCCTGGCACCATAGGGCCTGAACAGAATTGCAAGCAGAGGGGCTCTGGCATCGAGCTGCTGGCCTGGTTGGCTGAGTGGGATCCCGGGGCCTCCCGAGTGTCCCTTGGGAAAGCCAGCAGAGAAACAAGCCAATCCTGAGACGCTCTGACCTCCACCAGGAGGTTATTCCTGCTCCCCATGGGGGGGCCTCCTTGGAATGCTGCTCCCCTGTCAGGACAGGGCTGGCATCTGGTTCTGGAGGGACCTGAAGGATTTTTCTCTTTTAGGCCGGGCGGCAGCCTGCCAACCATGCCCTCACCTTGCTGGACTTATGGTCCACGTTGAAGGTGGCGATGATGCCATCTGTCAGCTCGCGGCCCTCCCGCAGGACCAGGTACTCGGAGAGGCGGTTGGCCAGGTAGGTCTTCCCAGTGCCACTGGGGCCCGACAAGATGATGCGCCGATGCTCCACCAGCAGGGAGATGTAGCGTTGCAGGATGGGCTTGGGGATGAGGGACTCGAACACCAGCGAGTCCAGGCTGTTCTCTGCGAGCCCTGGGTTGGAGAGAGGCAGGAGGGAGGGGGATTAGCAGCCTGGGGCAAGGGCAGCTCTCTCTCCCTGCCTGCTCCCTGGGACTGCTGGGGCTTGAGGGGCAGGCCTTGCTGGGCAGCTTACCCCTTACCCCTCAGGCCCTGCCCGCCTGGGTCCAGGGGATGAGAGCAACAGCCCCGGTCTGCTGGGCCCCCAGTGCTCTGCCCGACTTTGCCACACTCAGACCCATCTCGAATATCTGACCTTGATTCCCCCGTCCTTGGCAGGATTCCTGAGATGCTGGGTTCTGCTTGCCTCTTGGGGTGGCGTTTTCCCATCCCTCTCCCTGAGACTGCCTCTTCACCCTGGTCCCTCACCCTGTGTGCTAGGTGCCACGTGCCATGTGGCCACACTGAGATGGAATGTGCAGATAACTAAGTGTCTATCTTCAAAATGGGGACAAAGGCAGATGTGTGTGCGTGTGTGTGTGCGTGTGTGTGTGTGTGTCTGTTATATGGTTTGCGCTGTGGCTGCCATCGATGCAGAATCAACTGTACCAGCTGAGACCTTTGTGCCTTGGAGACATAAAGGGGGACCTTCTCTGCCCAGATCCTTGCCTGGGTGGCGTCATGCATCAGAGCTATTGACTTGAAGAGAGCTCTTTCCTTAGAAGCCTTCCCAGAGATGATGCATCCAAGGTCCAGAACATAGGCTTGAAGCTCAATGCAAAGTACTGAGCAGTTTCTCTACTGACTATCGACAATGTGGAGCTGGCAGGTTTGCAGCTCCAGGCTTTCTCTTTTCTGTGGGGAAGGGAATGGTGGGGGTCTGGGCCATACCAGTTGTGCTCAGGGGTCCCTCCTGGCAGTGCTTGGGGGATCCTATGTGGTGCAGAGGACTGAACCTGGGTCAGTCATGTGCAAAGAAAGTACCTTACCTGCTGTTACTATATCCCTGACTCTATCCAGACTTTCTCTTTAACCATCCCTTCATACCAGGAGTAACTGTTCTGGGGCTAGGGTCATACCCCTGGTGTTCATGATTTACTCCTGGTTCTATGTTTAAGGATGCTTTCTGGTGATGCTGGGGGGGCCATGTGCAGTGCTGGGGTTTGAACTTATGTGCAATGCAAGCACCCTTCCTACTATGCTATCTCTCTGGCCCTAGGAGTATTTTATAGACAAACTCTTTAGCTATGACCCACTCAGACTCCTTTCCCCAGATACCACTGAAATGAAACATTTCGGTGTCTTCCAGTTCAAATCTGTGTATGGATTTTAGGACCTTGAAGGTCTATCTCTTACATATGACAGGAGAAGAGACATGATAGAAATCACTTAAAAGTGAACCCAGTAAGGGGCCAGGGATGTGATTTGCACGTGTAGGGCCTCAGTGCCACCCCATGCCTTCCCCAGCTCTGCATAATGTAGTCCCACAGCAACAAAAGCATTATTATAGTTTTTGATTTTGCTTTGCTACACCTGGCAGTGCTTTGGGGCTAGGTGCTTGGGGGGACCAACCAAGAGGTGGTCAAAAGCAAGGCTCCTGGGTATCCCCTCCCACCCCAGGACTTTGAATTATTTCCCTGGCTAACATTAAAAACCACCACCACCACTGCCGATCAAACAAAATTCCTGGAGATGCTAAAACCCTGGCAGAGAGACAGCAGCAACAGACCAGGCTCTGCGGTGGGATGGTCCCTGCTGAACAGGAAGCAGAGGCGGATACTCTCGTCCTCTTTCTGCAGAGCCGTGGCCTGCTCTCAGCAGCTGCCCACCCCTTCCACCCCATCTCCCGGTTCTTCCAGGAACCTGGCAGTCACACCTACGAAGGGCCTCTGACACCATGAAGCTCATTAATGGTTATGACCCAGAGACTCACAAATACATAATAAAGCTGTGGTCAAATGATGGCCCTTCAGAAAAATGAGAGGTGGGAGAACCCAGAGACGGAGCCCAGGCTGGGACAATGCTCAAATCTGCTCTGGGCTGGAGAGATAGCAGGGGCTAAAGGCGCTTGCCGTTTGCATATGGCCAAGTGCGGTTCTACCTTGGCACTGTACGTGGTCCCCTGAGCACGGAGTCAGGAGCAAATCCTGAGCATTGCTAGATGTGCCCCCCCCCCAAAGAAAAAAACACCACCAACAAAACTAAAATCTGTTCTATGGGGAGCATCATAGAACACAGGAAAAGGAAGTCTTGTCTTTCAGTAAATTTGGGTAAGATGTGATTAAGTCAGCCTTTGAACGGCAGGGTTTGGGACATGAAAGAACTTGAGTGTTCACAAACCTTCGCCCTCACACCCACATGGGGAGTGGGGGGCTGGGGTGGGGGGGTGGGGGAACCTGTCTGCCAGGCTGCTCTATCTGGCCATGCAATTTCCCCTCATATCACAGAGAGCACTGCTGAGGGTCGTACTCTGGTCTGAGGCACCCCATCACAGGAAGCTTGGGGGCACCACACAGGGGGCAAGCCCTTGGTGGGTTCCTGGGGTCACTTTTCTCCCGCTCCACAGCAAACTGTGGTTTCCCGTCTGCAGCAGCATGGGATGGCGTCCAACACCGGCTGTCGAGAAGAGCTCATCCCAGGTCTGGGAAGAGCCTCAGTCCCAGGGGGCTATTAAGATTCCATTATCTCCGAGTCATCCAGCTAATGGGAGCTTTTGTCAGATGATTTCAGCAACAAACGGGCCCTAATTTGTTTCCTCCAGTGGTGGTAGAGAAAGCTGAAGACCGTTCAACTTGCTTAGGTAAGAATAACTGTGGTCGAAAGTGGGAGTGGGGTTTGGGGGAGAACTAAAACCACCCACCCACACAGAGAGGCCCAGACGTTGGTGTCTGTTTCTGAGGTTCCCCCCCCCCCCCCCATCCCCCAGTACAGAACAGGAAGCACCCAACCCTGGGGCTGGGCGGGCCCATGCTGTACCTTTGATGGCCACCGAGATGGTGGTATTCTCGCCCACCAGGTAGCCGCACGGGAGCAGCTCCGGGGTTTCGGAAGCGTTGCTGCGCTTGATCTCTCCAATGCTGTAGCCGAGGACACTGTCAGAATTCAGCCCCAGCTGACTCACCGGGTCCACGTGAATGATGTACTCCTGGAGGTGGGGGGGAAGGAAAACCCAAACAAAGACCCCATCAAAAAGGAGGCTCCCGAGCTGCCCGGGGTGGCTGGTTCTCGCTGGGTGATTTACGGGCACTCCTTTCTCCGTCACTCCTTTCTCAGCAGCTTACCTGTGAGGGACACAGTGCCATGCAAACCAGCGGCAGGAAGGAGGTGGGGGGAGGTGGTTTATTATGGTCTGTGGGCCTGGGCCACAAAGGCCTCATGAAATACAAATTTGTTTAGTTAGGGCTTGGGGGAACTGCGGAGCACCCCTCCCCACCCTCCTAAAACGACTGGACGTTTAGTCTGGATGAAGCAAGCATGGGAGAGTAAGGCGGCAGCTGAAGTCCTGTGGCTACTGGACCCAGGGCACAGCGCTGCTGCACGGATCATGAGAAAGCCATTCTGACAGGAAGCCCCTCTGCCTGCCCCTTCTTCAGGCTGGGGGCAGACACCCTGTGGGTGGCAACAGAGGGAATCAGGTCTGGGATGGCCGACAGAAAGCAGATCCAGAATGTGAACAAGAAAAAGGTGAGCTGCCTGCCTTTGGAAAACGCTGCCTTTTAAGTCACCGACCTAAAGGTCCCAGGGCAATGAGCTCGGAACCAAGGCTGGTTCCAAGCTTGGAACCAAGCTCAGAACCTGGACTCTGAAGTGGGTGGACACTGAGTTCTATCTTTTTTGGGGAAGGGTCTCAGCTCCAAAGGCTCTTTCCAAGCCTCTTTCCAGAGGTTGTCCTATCCTCTGGGATTCCCGGTCAGAGTGGGAGAAAAGGAAGAGTGAAGTCATTAATCTGAACCCACTCACTAGAGATGAAAACATTCTAGTTAAGCCAGGGTCTGAAGACAGACCGACTCAGCACGAGCAACACTTGGTGCTTTGTGGATCTTTGATCTCTTAGGCAAGTGAACCCATCTAGATTTCAGTTTCCTCACTTTCATCTTTAAAAAAAAAAAAAAATTCCGTCTTGTTCTGTTTGGGCGTCACACGCAGTGGTGCCCAGGCTCTTTGTGGTACATGGATCGGGGGTCACTCCTGGTGGTGCTAAGGGACCAGGTGACATCAGGAATTGAACTGGGGGCACTCTGCACACAGAACATGCACACTCCCACTTGGAGCTGTTACCCCAGCCTTTCCTCACTTTTAAAAATGGAGGATGGGGCTGGAGCAATAGCACAGCGGGTAGGGCGTTTGCCTTGCATCAGCCAACCCGGGTTCGACTCCCAGCATCCCATATGGTTCCCCAAGCACTGCCAGTAGTAATTTCTGAGTGTATGAGCCAGGAGTAATCCCTATGCATCCCCGGTGTGACCCAAAAAGAAAAAAAAAATGGAGGTAAGAAACAAAGAAACAGAATCTTTCTCCCAGGACTGGCTACAAATTAAGAGTAACACAAAGGAGGAACTTAGCATGCTTTCTGGAACATAGACAAAAAACAAACAAACATGGGCATTGTGACTTCCTTTTCAATCTCATTAGTAGAGACTTTGGGTTCTTGACTGACTGACTGCAGGGCAATAGAAAAGATGCACTCCAGGTTTCTTTCCAACCACCTCACATTTTATTTCCCTGTTGTGCCTAACACCCCTGCTTTTAATGTGATTTCAATGAACAGAAAAGTTAACTACGCCAACGTCCTTGACACTGGCCACTGATCAGAGGTGAATTTCACTTGCAGCCTGAATCAGAGGCTCTTAAGTGTTGGCACAGTCAGTGGGGCAAACTGGATCAAATCCAGCTGCCCCGAACAAAGGATGGAAAACTGACCACTCAGCTTCAAACCAGCCACAGGTGATCCGTTCCCAAGCATATTGAACAGGATGGAATTTGAGAGTAAAGAGAGAATCTGAATCAGTCCTCTGCTCAGGCTGGGGACAAGACCCTCACTTGGCACAGAGAAACGGTCAGTCTGGCCGTGCTTTCCGTCCTCCTGCTAGTCACTTGAGGGTAAGCACACAAGACCCAGCGACTTAAGGTTGTGGGAGAAGGGATGGGCCTAAGAGATGGCATGATGACACATACTCCCTGACCCTCCCAAAGCCCAGGTCCCCACGTTAGGTACCCTGCCACAGCATCTTCGTGAAACACTTACTTTGAACAGCCGTCTAACCACCCCATCGAGCACATCCCACTTCGTCTTGCCACTGACTCCAATGCAGCCAATAAGAAAGACGTGTGGTCTGGAATCCTAAGGGTAAGGAAATGTAGGCAGGTGAAAACCAGGTGCATCTTTCCTGACAGTTCCACAGGGACTCACATTGTCTTAGAATCCCACCAGCAGTTGCAGAGGGGGATAGAAGTCCGCCTTGTTATTTGTGAGTCATGTTTCTTTCTCACTGAGATTGAAGGATAGTCTTCCCAGCATCCCCTGCTCTGCTGCTACTACAGCAATTCCTAAACCAGAAAGAAAGGACCTTCGCCCCCACCTACTCCAGACTGTAAAACATTTTGAGCACAATGTACCTTGTTGAGGGTGAAGATCATACATCCCCTGCCTGGAAAGCTCCCCCTTCTCCTGGCTGCCATCTCCACTTTGCCAAGCCTTGCTCACAAACTCACCTTATGCAGGAAGCTCCAGGGACCAAGCCACCAAGCTCGGGGGGCTCATGTTTCCACAGGTCTGCTTGCAACTAAACCCACCGACACTGCCCATATTTGTTTATGCAGATTTTTAGGTTTTCCCCACATCTTATTTATATTTAAATAGTATGTCTTAAACAACTTCCAGTTACTATTTTTATTTTTTCAAAAAGCTATTTTTTAATAAAATTTAAAAAAAATTTCAATAAAATTTTTACTATTATTATTTTTAATCAATTGCTTTGATTATTATTAAATGGAAAAACATGATCCACTCAGGAAACTAGTGAAACCCTAGGAAGTTTACAATCTGTTTCTACTGGTTTGTGTCTCTGCCCACGGGACTCTGTAGTGTGGGGGTTAATAGATCACAGTGATACACTGAAAAATGCTAATCGAATATCATTTTTTTTTTTGGCTTTTTGGGTCACACCTGGCAATGCACAGGGGTTATTCGTGGCTCTGCACTCACGAATTACCCCTGGCGGTGCTCAGGGGACCATATGGGATGCTGGGAATCGAACCCGAGTCGGCCGCATGCAAGGCAAATGCCCTACCCGCTGTGCCATTGCTCCAGCCCCATCATGTTTTTTTTTTTTTTTTAAATATCCAACATGCCCGCAAGGAAATAGGAACCAGCAGAGAGGAGAACACCCATCTGGTCCTGTTACTCGCCTTGTAGCCTTAGGGAAGTGATGATGAGCTCTGAGGGTCCTCAGTTGTACCACTGCAGAGATCAACACCTACTTCTGCAATTTCACCCAGAAGCTGTGGCCACGCAAAGAGGCACACATTTTGCAAGTGATTTGAACTTTGTTCTGTTGGTTCATGCTGTGGATCACCAGGATAAGGGGCATTCGCCAGGATCCTCTGTTAATTGAAGAGGATCTAAGAATGAACTCTCATGCTTGAGAGTCTGTCACCCTGTCAGCTAAGCTCTGCAATGAAGCCACCCACTGGGTCTTTCTGGGACTAGAGGATGCTATAGCTCCTGGCAGAGCTGCAAGTTCTGGGTTGACCCTCTTCTGTAGGAAGAGAGACCCAGTTGGAAAGTGGAATCCCCTGGCAAGGAGGCTGCCCACTGACATTCCTCACTGGTGGCCCTGTGGCTTCCAACTATTATGGTGTGGTGGTTAGAAAAAGAAAAAACTCAAGGGACTCGAGATAGCACCTCCTGAAGTCTTTGCTCACTAGAAATATGGTCTTTCTCAGCATCATTTGGATCTTGTCACTAGCTGAAAGTTAACTTGGTGACCCGCCTCACCGCCCCCTCTAAAGTAACGTCTAAGAGAGGAATAGGAGTCATCTGAATTTTTAGACTGGGGAAGATAATGGAAAGTCCTCAGAACAGAGCTGCCAGCTTCAGCAAGTCAAGATGCTGCCCCATGTCTTTTTTTTTTTTGCAGGGGTAGGGCACCACAATACACCTAGTGGTTTTGTGTGTGTGTGTGTATGTGTGTGTGTGTGTGTGTGTGTGTGTGTGTGTGTGTGTGTGATTGAACCTGGGACCCTGGTATACAAAGCATGGACACTAACCCACTGAGCTATCTCCCTGACCTGACCCCATGTCACCGTTAGCCACACGTGTGCTCTGACACCTTGGCTGCTGTGTCTCAGTGCCCACTTGGCTGGCAGCCTCTGAGATCTGCACGAAACTGGGGCGCCCAGCCAGCAGTTCTCTGTCCCTTCTGGGCTGAACAGGCTCCCCCATGTATGCCCTGCAGAAAACCCACTTTCGGCAAATTGAGTGTTCTGGGAAGCCTTTGTTCCACTTTCCAAACCTAACAGTGAGGGCAGGGTTGGGTCACTGGCTCATTTGAATTCTGCCAAAATGCTGGGGCAGGGGTTGGTTAGTCGGCTGAGGAGGCGTTAGTAGTAGACAAGAGTCCCCTTTGGTGGTGAGGAGCCAACATCTGATGCAGCCATTTCTATGCTAGGTAGGGTTCTACCTGGGGCAGGGACCGGCAGAGCAGGGTGAAGGGATCCAACTAACCTCCTTCCACTTCATTTGCTCCTGAAAGCTGACAACTATCTTAACATGCCTGCCTCCTTCCTTCCGAGCCGAGCATTCACCAGTGTCATCCAGCAACATGTCTGCGAATGGAAAACATCAACAGCCTTAGGCACAGGGGGACGGCAAAGCTGGCTGCCTGACACCCCCGCTGAGGCCGGCCGGGCACAGCAGCGGGTCCAACCAGGTGTCAGGGTGCAAGGGAGGAGGGATGGAGGGACAGAGGAGGAAGGGGAAGAGGGCAGAATGGAGAATGCAACCACAGAAACCAAGGGTGGATCAACCAAGGCACCAGCAGGCTGACGATGTACCTTGCCAAATGGATGTGCGAGGGAGAGACTTAACCAAAAACGAGAGCAACAGCAGCATCATGGATTAAAAAAAAAAAAAAAAAGAAAAAGGAAAAAAAAAACAAAAAGAAAAAAAAATCAAAGCGTCAGCTTCAGTCCGCTTAACAAAGGAAACCTGGGTCACGTCCACTAGTTATGGCGCCAGCCTGGAATGCATCCCGGAGGTGGGAACATCACAGGCCAAGCACTGCCCCCGGACACGGGGACCTGCCAGGATGGGTGGTTGAGATGCGGCATTCCGTTTTGCGGGTCAGCCTCTTCAAAATGGATCAAACAGAACTCAGCATGGTGGGCGAGGAGGGCCAAGCTCAGGGCCCTGAGGCTTCAGGTGCTGGAGCGAAGCATGACAGCGGTCTCACGGCGGGGCTGGGTGGGGAGCAGACGCACACCCACACACACACACACCCCAAGTGCACACGCGCCTGCTGCCTCTCCATTGCCTCTGTTTATCTGCTTCTCTGGGGGCTCTTGCTTGGAGACCAGTGGGGGGGCCACTGCAGGTCCTGCCCTGCACCCCCTCCCAGACTGTGGGACCCTCCCCCCACCCCCATCCCTCCACTCACCCAGGCTGGTGGACTCTGTGAGGTTCAGGCTGTGCTGGGAGAGGCCCAGGGACTGCCGGGGGGAGGCTGATAGGGACACCTGGGAGGGGGCCCGGCTGCAGCCGCTGCCCTGGGACTCCGACTTCAGTCGGTCGTTTTCCGCCTTCAGCTTCTCGATTTCACTCTGTGGAGAGCAAGGGAGAAGCTCACTGAGCAGGTGTGCAGTCTGCCCAGAAGCTTTTCTGGGGAGTGGCAGGGGAGCGCGAGTTCCCAGCTGAGGGAGTGACACCAGCTGCGTGTCCTGCAGGCCAGAATGGGTGGGTATCCATCCCTTCAGAGAACTGACCTCGGAGAAGCCCTTGGAAATGTGTGCTGGAGCACACCAGAGGAGGTGAAAAAGGGGTTTCTAACCTAAGAGGCTGAAGAAACTGTGACTTTGGTGGGTTCTGGGCTTCCAGAGCCTTGGATGAGCTGGGGAGCCCCATTCCCAGGGTGCCTGCCTTCCTCGGGACCCTCCTGGCACTGCCCCAGGAAATGCTACTGTCCACTGAGGTCTCAGATAGAGGAGTCCACGGGGCACATCCCTTCTGTGAATACTAACAAGAAGTAGCCTAGAATAGGGGCTAGAGTCATAGGCCAGCAGGGAGGGCATTTGCCTTCCACGGGGTCGACCTAGGTTTGATTCCTGGCCATCCCATAGGATGAGCACTGCCAGGAGTGATTCCTGCATGCAAGCCAGGAGTAACCTCTGAGCATTGTCGGGTGTGACGCAAAAGAACTGGAAAAAAAAAAAAAAAAGAACTGTCCCAGAGTATTGTGGAAGGTCTGAGAGCTCTATGCAGGGGAAGGCGGGCAAAGGAGGAGAGCCTGGGAGATCCAAAAGTCACGCGTTCCAGGGAAGGCGGGAAGGCCATGAGAACCACCGTGTAGGAATTCGGATAGATGGACTTGTCCCGCTGCAGGGCTCGGAAGGCCTTACAGGAGAGGCATGAGTCTGAGCACCAGGGAAGGGGCTCATTTGGATGTGGGGAAGGACAGTCTAGCAGTGGAAAGGGTATGAAACAAACTGTCCAGACCACGCAAGCAAAGGGGCTGTAGGTGTCTCTCGCTGGCTAGAAAAAGGAGTCTGGCAGTGGGAGTTGGGGTGGGTGGGTGGCGGGTGGACCCTGAAGGGTCCAGTGTAGGGGGTTACTTCTGCCCAGAAGGGGCATGGCTAGCCTATGTGTCCCAAAGTTCTCTGAATGGCCAGCGGGGGGGAGGAGGGCCTGCAAAGGGAAGAGGCTGGCAATGTGGCAGGTTGCCCCCGGATTCTGGGGCTGCCCCCCAGGTGCCTCCTCATCTGCCTTCTCTCTGCCTCCCACTGCACTCTGCTCCGGTTCTCACCTGCATCCGGTTCATGGCCTCCCGGAGCTGGTCGAGCTGGTGCGCAGAGCTGAGGGCTTCAAGGCGGATGTCCGTGAGCTTCATCTCCTTGTCTCTCAGTTCATTTCGGAGCTGCATGACCGTTTCGGCTTCGCTGTCCATGCACTCAGAAATCCTATGGACAAAAGGGGGGTGCCTGCTGGAAACAGGCGCGAGAGCGCCTCTCCTTGGGGGTCTCTGCTTCCCACGGCCCTGGCCATGTCCATTATCAGCAACAGTGACCCTGTTCAGCCTGCTGCTGGCTCTTTCCCAAGGTGATGATATCACAGATTTTGCAGCTTCTGGGACAGAGTGACAACAGGTAAGGCAAGTCAGGCCTTGCATGTGGCTAACCTGGGCTTGGTCCCGGGCAATCCTATATTGTCTCCCCCTCACCCCCCAGCCCACCATCAGTGATCCCTGAGGGCAGAGCCAGATTTGCAGCTTCTCCACACTTTCTTTGCAAAGCGCTGGTCCTCAGAATGACTTCAGGATGCCTTTTAGCAAAGCTCTACTCACCAAGGGCTAAACAGGAGCTGTCCAGAGGGACCAGTAATCTTTGGGGTTTGAAGACTCTTCCCCCAGCTGTCTACACAGCTGGGCCACTACAATAGCACCCCATGGCCCTGGACATCTAAAGTTACCCAAAGAAGCAAGGTCAAGTCTCTGCTTTAAAGATTAGACACTCTGAGGTCAGAGAGCTGAGGGTTGATTCTTAGCTGCCAAGGAGGGAAATAAACTTAAAGATCTAAGTAAAGGGAGCTTGTTTCCAGTCACCACAGTCAAAACCCCATTCCCTTAAGTGTCTAGAAGGAAATAAGATTGTTTTGCCACTCAGGAAAAACACCCCTTCACTCCTTGCTTACAAAGCTGAAAGAAGAAAAAACAATCTGAGGCAGTAAAGGGTGGGGAGGGAGGGAGATGGTGTCACTGGTGATGGGCGTGGTGTTGGAACGATGTCCATGAGAAACCATCATTAATAAATAGTATCATAGCACTGTAGCACTTAGCACAGTCCTCCTGTTGTTCATCATTTTGCTCGAGTGGGCACCAGTACCGTCTCCATTGTGAGACTTGTTGTTACTGTTTTTGGCATACTGAATACACCACAGGGAGCTTGCCAGACTCTGCAGTGTGGGTGGGATACTCTCGGTAGCTTGCAGGGCTCTCTGAGAGGGATGGAGGAATCAAACCCGGCTTGGCTGGCGTGCCAAGGCAAATGCCCTACCTGCTTTGCTATTGCTCCAGCCCATAGTATCATAAGCAAAAGAACAAAATAGTGAGTGGCTAAGGAAGCCAAAGGGTTTTTCTGTTTATTCTGGGGCTGCACTGCAGTATTCAGGAGGAGCATGACAACAATGGGGCTCAACCTGGGGCTCCCACGTACAAAGCATGAGCCCTAGTCCACGGAGCCAAAGTTTTACCTAAAACTTTGCCACGAGGGCTGGAGCCATAGTACAGTGGGTAAGGCACTTTGTCTTGCATGTGGCTGACCTAGGTTCGATCCTGGCACCCCCATATGATCCCCTGAACACTGCCTTGAGTGATTCCGGAGTGCAGAGCCAGGAGTCAGCCATGAACATCACTAGGAGTGGCCCCCATGAACAAGCAAAAAGAAAAATAAGATGCTGTCACAGCATGGCAAATTGTCTTCTTCCTTCAGCTATGCCATAGCTCATAAGGACTCATGGGATTCTACCCTTATTTGAGTCATCAGGTTTGTTTGTGCTTCAAATACCTGACAAAGCATTACAAAGTGGAAGATCATAGAAGTGAAGACATGTTAGGACAGATGGCTCTACCTAAAAAAATTAAAGGGGCCGGAGCGATAGTACAGCATGGAGGGTATTTGCCTTGCATGTGGCCGACCTGGGTTCAATCCCCGGCATCCTGTATGGTCTTTTGAGCACCATCAGGAGTGATTCTTGAGTGCAGAGCCAGGGGGAATCCCTGAGCATCACTGGGTATCCCAAAAAAGCAAAAAAGAAAATAATAATAATTAAAAAATTAAAAATTAAAGTTCTGTGGTTTCAGAGATCCCAGGAACCAGGGGGAGAGGTGAGTCAGAAGGGAGGGAGAAGGAGGGAGAGAGAGAGAGAGAGAGTGAAAGAGAAAGAGAAAGAGGGAGAGAAGGAGAGGAGAGATAGAGAGAGTGGTGAAGAGTACATGTTTGAGTTCAGGCCCCAGGGCTAGCTCTCAAGCTTCTAAAGTTACAAAACTGAAACCGGTTCCCTCAGAAAGACACGGCAAGCATGTGGTCTCTCAGAAGTCATCACAGGAGCCCGCTCCCCACGACCCAAGTATTGGATTTGGAGCCAAAGAAAACCTAACCTGTAAAACTGGCCGAGGGTGTGGAAATGTTCCTCGCCAAAGGAAAACCATTTATAATTGTTAAAAGAGAGGTAATTGTACTTTGGGGGCAGAAGGGGCTATAAGAAAAATTTAGCACCTCAACAGCCAACATTTTTGGTTGCTATTTTCTTGCCCTCCACCTGAACTGTGTGACTTGAGAGATGCAAAGGAGGGGTGGGGGAAGCCACCCTCAGGTTTTAAGACTTGCCAGAAGCCGGGGGAGCAATTTCACTTCACGATCTTCCAAGGCCTGCAACAGAACCCTGCAGATAGTACGTTATTCCCTTTTTGCACCTTTGAGAAACTGAGGCTACCCTATTTGGGACAAAAGAGCTAGAGAGACAGAAATGCCTTTAGAATTGAGATCATCCTCTGCCCCCAGCTCTGTGCTTTGATGAGCTTGTGGTTTTTCTAAGTCATGCTTCTTATTATTATTCTTTTTTGGGTTTGGGAGGTCTGCAGGAAGAGCTTGCAAAAACCGGTTCTCTCTTGAGTGCTGGACAGTTTCCTGGTGTAAATGGAGTGTAAAGTCTGAACAAAATTCCACTGTGACACTTCAGTCTTAGCCAAAATGTGCCCGGCATAGCTCTCAAGGCTTCGCTTCACTGCAGAGAACAGCTGGCCTCATTCCCGCAGAGCCGGGGCTGACCAGCACACTGTGGCAAGGCTCCTTGGCAGGGTCTGTCTTTTCCCCTTGAAGGCTTTCTCAAGAGGAGAGACAAGATTTGCTCGGCACCTACTTTGTGGACTCTACCATCACTTGAGTTATTCTACAAAGCTTGTTCATGTACAGTAAAGTGGCAAACCAGGAGTCTGTGTTGGGAGGAACTGCACTGCACCAAGCATACGAGGCTTCTATAGGCTCCTAAATCACCAGTTCTCAGAGATATACAACAGAATGGCCATATGGGAGGCATGTCCTTCCACCAGAGAGATAATGTTCATTACAAGTTCCAGTGGTCCCAATGAAGCATTTGTCCCCATCCCACTGCCCAAACACCATCCTCTTCCTCGGTTCCTTCCTGTCCCAGCCTTGTTAGGTCACACATAGTTAGGTTGGACTGATCAGTCTCCCATGCCTCCCTCCACCCAAAGCTGCCAGCTCCTGCAGATCCAGGGCTCTCTGCATCAAGTCTGGAGTCTGACAAAATTGATCAGAACAGAAGCTGCTTGGCAAATGTTTACTGACTGCATCAACAACACACCTGAAGTGTGGTGTTTTGTTGCTTACTTTGTACACTACTAACTCCATGAGGTGGTGCTATAAACATCTGTTTAAAAAGGGGGAGATGTTAAAAGCACTGCAAGGAAAGTTTTTAAAAAAGGACAGTGGAGCATCTTGGGTGCATAGGTTATGGTGAGGGTAGACTAACTCTGTACATAAAAACCATACAGGGGCTGGAGTGATGGCACAGCAGGTAAGGCATTTGCCTTGCATGTGGTCAACCCGGGTTCGATTCCTAGCATCCCATATGGTCCCCCAAGCACTGCCAGAAGTGATTCTTGAGTGCAGAATCAGGAGTAATTCCTAAGCATCACTGTGTATGACCCAAAAAGGAAAAAAAAAGTTAGCCGTACCCAAACTACAAATAAAAACAAAATAAATTTAATTTAAAAACTGGGGAGATGGAGCTGAAGCAATAGTTTGCCTTGCATGCGGCCAACCTGGATTCAATCTCCGGCATCCCATATGGTCCCCCAAGAACTGCCAGGAGCAACTCCTGAGTGCAGAGCCAGGAGCATTGCTAGGTGTGACCCAAAAAAGAAAAAAATAAAACTGGGGAGATGAAGGCAAGAGAATCAATGTGCTGATTAAAAATGCCAAGGTCGTGGGACTTGAGAGACAGTACAGTGGGTAAGGTACTTCCCTTGCATGCAGCTGACCCAGATTTGATCCTCTGCATCCCATATGGTCCCCTGACCACCACCAGGAGTGATTTCAGTTATCCCTGACCATTGCCCCAAAACAAAATAAAATGATGCTGAGGTCAGGATCCAATCTAGTAGATCTGTTTAACACTGAGTAGAGGCTCAAAAACCACTGCTCACGAGCCCATGCTTCTGGGCTCTATTCAGCAGGCACTTAATATTTGCTTGTCATGTCTTTGAGCATGCACAGAGGCAAACATACCTGGTCTCCTACTCACAGTGCCCCACTGTACTCCCGCTGTCTCACCCAGAAGGCAGGGCTGGCGGCATACCTAATTTTAAATGCCTAGAGTATGGGAAACAGCGCCTTCCCACACCACCATTCCTTCCACCCATGGGTAGAGCTTTTTTTTTTTTTTTTTTTTTAAATTCTTCTGCCTCTGGTTTCTTTTTTGAACTCCCCCTCACTTCTAGATTTGCACATTCTCACACACCCTTTAAGGTTGGAAATAGCATTTGCTTCTTCCCACCCTCAGGGGGGAAAAAAAAACCCTAGACCCAAAACAAACATCTCCAGTGTCCATGGATGCTGTGGAATGTCAGAACAGGGTGGGGGAGCTGTCGGCCCCACCCCAGGCCTCTGGGGAAAGTGGTTTGGAAGGAGAGTTCTCTCAATGGTCTCTGGGACTCCTTTAACGCCATGTGCAACCTCATCATTCTCTCCCCATCTTACTTGGCTGCTCAGGGAGTACTCTCTCCCCTGAAAAGTTCCTTCTCTCTGTCCCAGGTTCCTCCTATTTCACTGGTTGCTCAACTGTTTATTCCTGAACCTGAGTCAAGTATTGGAGTTTGGTCTTTGTCCCTCTCCCCTGTCTCATCCAAACTCTTGAAGAACAGGGGCTGGAGTGATAGTAC